TGAATCTACATGCAGAACATATTATAAGAGAAGCAGGAGTGGAGGAAGATGATCAGGGATTCAGGATTAGTGGAAGAAACATCACATAGTGGAAACTCTAGCAGATCTGAAGGCCCTTAAAAGGAAGGTTAAAGAACACAGTAACTTAAGCTTAATATGAAGAAGACTCAGGTTATGATGACAGAAAAGACCACTATGTTTACCACTGATGGAGAAGATGGTGAAACAGTGGAAATGGTGGACAGCTCTTCCCTTCTCAGATCAGTTATTAACAACAGAACAAGGATGAAGGAGCTTGAAAAGATCTTCAAATGCAAAGATTTGTCTCTACAAAGGTTAGAATTGTCCAGGCTGTGGTTCTATCTGGGGTTCTTTATGGATGTGAAAGCTGAACAATAAATAAGCAAAACAAGACAGGAAAAATATTGAACTTTGAACTTTGTTGAAGACTTTTGAGAGTTGCTTGGATGACAAGAAAATAGATTCTGAACTGAATTAAGCCTCAGCTCTCACTCGACGCCCAGATAACCAAACTGAAGCCTATATTTCGGACATATTATGAGAAGAGATATGTGGAAAAGACCATTTTGCCTGGAAGAGTTGAAGGTAAAAGAGGAAGAGGACGAACACCTACAAGATGGATGGATAGAACCAGAGGAATCATGAACCAGCCATTTAGAATCCTAAAGACCCAAACAGATGATGGGATATTGTGGAGAAACACTATTCATATGGCCACCAGGAATCAAAATCAACTTGATGGCTAATAATAGTAGTAGTAATAATAATAATAATAATAATAATAATAATAATAATAATAATAATAGCCCTGCGATGGGTGTTTTCTGCCTTCCGCCTGATGAACACTGAGATAGGCTCCAACACCTTCCACAACCCAGAAGGATAAGTGGCTTAGAAGATGGGTAGATAATAATAATAATAATAATAATAATAATAATAATAATAATAATAATAATTAGAAAACTGCCTTGAGATGTTATGTTTGCTCAATAAGTAAGTGTTTTCTACATTATTTACAAAGCTGAGGGAAAGCTCTTAAAGAGGTATGAAGCACTCAACTTGAACAACAGGAATAAAACTCACACATGGGTGCATTAGCCAGGCAAAATGAATGCTGGCAAGACAGTCTTCATCACTGACTGCAGCCTTCCACAGCACTGCTACAGTGCACACGACTGCACACAGACTGTACTCCATGCTCTCAGGGTAACTCTTGTTTATACAGCATTACTTTGGTGATGACACTGAAGTTCTGCGTTGCTGGATAGAAGAAGAACACTGTTGGGACAGGAGGGCTCCAAAAAGTAATACATTTCCAAATTTGTCTAATTTATGCTTAAATGTATTGTGGATAGTGTAAGGGGGCTCAGAAAGAATCTTTATAAAAGAATGAGTAAGTACCTCATTTTAGACAGCATTTAGTTGGCATACTGATTGTTCAATCATTTCAAACTGATAACTGATTGTACTTTAAATGCCAACAAAACATTCACTTTTCTTTTTGTTATTTACCAAAAAAAAAGTGTACATATTCACTTCAAATCTACACACACAATGTATTTTGACTTGTACTGATAAATATGAACAAAAATCATGCATCCATAAGCATAAAAAGATTCATACCTAGTTACAAAGTTACGAATTACAAAGTAATTTGCTTTTTTAGGCATTGTGGTTCATTTTTGGTAAATTTCTGGAGTGTTATCTTGAGATAATGAGTTAATTATCTTGTAATCTCAAGATAACAACTTTATTATCTTGAGATCACAAGACAATTAACTTGTTATTTTGTTATCTTTTGTTATAACAAGATAAGTAACGCATTATTTTAAGATAACAATTTTGTTATCTTGAGATAACAAGAGAATTAACTCGTTATCTCAAAATAACAATCCGGAAAATTATAACTACCTCATTGCCACATGAAGTCATTTTTTAAGGTTGAACGAAAGAACCATTTTTACAGTGTTGACGGTGCTCTGATAAGCGGTTTAGAAAATGTGTGTGTGTGTGTGTGTGTGTGTGTGTCTGATTGTGCCGTTTTACTGCTTATGCATGACCACAGCCCCTGAAATCTCACTTTAGGAGCCATTGAAACTGACCAGTTTACATGTAGCTACTTTTTCAGAGTACATAAGTGTTCAACATAGTCTGAACAGGCATTTGCTGTTGCCTTACTTTTTATAGGTTTAATATACATAGTGTTTCATACCGCAATGTGGGAATCAAAGTACCTAAAACTCAAATGTTTCCTGCTTGCCCATTTCTGAGCCCCCAAAGTTGGCAAGTGAGTCCCGGACTTGAGTTTCTATGAGTGTTTTCCACAGGTTGAACCAGGCTGCCTATTGTTTCCATTGGGAAACTCAGCACAGATGTGATGGTGGGACGATGCTGCCATCCTGTGGTGAATGTCAGCACTGCTGAGTCTACAAGAGCTGTGCTGCTCTCAGATGCACCCACTACCCACAGGAGTTCAAATACTCTTGTATAATCTCCATAGAAAAGCATTGACCAATGAAATGGGACACTCTTCAGCAACCATACATGAGTCTGAGGTCACCATGCCCAATGCCAAGCATGGGGGTATAAAGCCCCCCAGCACTGGGCTTTGGAGCAATGAAACTACGAGTGATGGAGCTCCATACAATACCATTGGGATGAGTTGGAGTGATCCAGAGCTAATCATTCAACATCAGTACCTGACCTCACTAATGCTTTTGTGGCTGCAATCAAATCCTCACAGCAATGTTCCAACATCTAGTGTAAAACCTTCCCAGAACAGTAGAGGCTGTTACTGCAGCAAAGGAGGACAAATTCTTTTTTAATACTCTTGATTCTGGAAGAAATATTAGACGAGCATATGTCCACAAACTTTTGGCCATATAGTGCATGTAGGGATTTAGTCTGAATTACAGAATTCTGCATTTGTTTGTGGACACAACCTGACCTAGCTTAAAATTAGCTGTAAAGTACCATATTTACCTTCTATTATCATTCTTTAAAAAAGGATGGAAAATAGGTCAACAAAGCATGTATACTCTGCAGTCTTAAGTTTGCGAAGTCACTTGGATCCTCCACTCTACAACTTTTACATTTGTATGAGGTTTAGTTTACATTCTTTTATTGTACAGTGCACTTTTCTCCTCTTCAATAATGAAGGTAAACTGAATGACCAATGGTATCCGCACAAACAGTGGCGTAGTTCAAACCACTCTACCTTTATGAGAAAAATACAAATGAGTTTTTTTACAACCTCCAAAATAGTCAACAGTCAACAGAAATTGTCTTAGACATGTATAGAATAGTGTACTTGATTTTTCTGTGTACATTTTTCTTTTTCTGTGGTCAAAAATGTGCGATTTATAATTTAACCCCTTATTTAAATCAGTTCATACCATTTTAAAATGACAGTGCATGCAAAGCTTTTAAAGGACACATATGGAAAACAAAAAGAGTTTGATGCAACACTTACAATGCTAAGTTTCAAAACATTCACTTCCACTGTCCATTCAGTCCACAATTAGAAACTAAGTTGCAGAAACAGCCTGTGTTGAATTTGTAATGTCATAAAAACTACATATACCACTCAGCCTATAGCAGTTTAGCCACACCCATTTACACTGAAGTTATAAGGAGTGTTTTATCCCTGACTGCTTTTGAATGAAGCACAATGCAGAGCAGCAAATCAGAACAGAGCACATTTACATAAACCAATCTCAAAGGCACAGTAACAACAAACAGCCTGTTTATTTCTAAGGGATGATGGTCATGTAGAAATGAATTATGACTGTTTTTGCCACACAAGACCACACACGCATCATGAGAGGACCTCAGACGAGCAAAAAATAAAACACCGAAAAATGAAAAAATGTATGATATGGGCCCTTTAACATCTGTAGCGCTTATCATAACGTCAGAACATCGCCTCATCAGCAAATAAATTATAAAAGAGAAGTCCATTTATTTAAAAAACTATCATTATCATTGATATTTGTTCACCAAGTGCTCCCTTTGAAACAGAAATGGTCCCTTAAAGGGGAATTCCACCAATTCTTCAAAATCTTTGCCTAGTTCTGTTGCAGCCATGTAAATAAAGTCATGCTGAGTGGTTTGGTGTGAAACGGTTCATTAAAGAGAAACGTACAGGCTCAGATTTCTTTTCAGTGGTGGTGATAGGAACCAGGGGTCACAATGTCTACAACTCAAATATAGCCATGTTATTTACATTCCAAAACCGGCAGTGAACCTACACATGTCTTGTGAGTTTTTATATGTAACATTAATGGTAAATTAGTGGAAAATCTGAAAAAAAAAAATGTTTTCTTAGAGGACTATTTTGCCTTGTATGCCTTGCATGTATCCCTCTGCCATGAACAGATTAAAATAAACGGACAAACTAGGCGTTTTAGACCAAAACTTTATTACAAAACTATCGTAAGACAATGTTTTGGCATTGCATAAAATAGTAACCTTCTGTGAGGGAGCTTTTAGAGGTGGACGTCTGGTTCCTATCACCATCACTGTGAACAACTCTGACATTCTGAGTTTCTCTATAACATTTCAAACCAAGCCACTCTGAATGCCTCTGTTTATATCTTGATCATTAAATTATGCAGAAGTTTTGAAAAAATAGTGGAATTCACCTTTAAGCTGTGCATCTGAACATTTGTCACAGTTTTGCCAATTGATCATCACCAGACTCCATCAGAACAGAAGGAAGCTCTCATTTCTCTGGCAAGCATAAATGTTTCTCGCAGTAAACACTGTGAAAATGTTCTCATGGTGCTCAAAGTTGCCCTCAAACTGAACACAAAGCTTTACGTCCAGCTGTATCTGTCTGTCCAAGTCTCCCCAAACTCCTAAAAAAGATGGCTCTTCAAGGGTTCTTTAGTAAAGACAATAGCTCTATTCAGAACCATGAACACTCAAAGAAACATTCGCTTGCTTTAATGGATTTTGGATGGTGAACGGTTCTTCAGATGCAGAATGTGTTGTACGTGGTTGTATAAAGAAGCCTTATAGCACCAAAAGGGTACACAAATTTAACATTGTAAAAATAGAAGAACGCTTTTAGGTGCTATATAGAACCATTTACCACACATTTCCCATCAATCTGAAGAAAGAACCATTTAAGCAGCAAATTGTTCTTTGAGGTTTCATGGTCCTGAACAGAAACATTGTCTTCACTAAAAAACCTGAACAACATGAAGAACTATCTTTTTTGAGAGTGCACCGTGTCACCAGGACCACGGCTGCACGCGAGCCAGGCTGGTGCTGAAGTGGATGGGGTGGAAGTGTTGAACTCCGAATGGAAACTGTAGTCCCGTGTGAAAGGGGGCACTGAGGTCCTGAGGTTTAGCACCGCCGCAGGGCCTGTGGTCCCTCAGCAGCGTGGACACGGCCAGGTCCCGGCCCCGCTCGGCCCTCTTTATCTTGTACCTGTGGTTCTGGAACCAGATCTTCACCTGGGTGGGCGTGAGGCGCAGGCTGCGGGCCAGATGCTCTCTCTCAGGTCCGGACAGGTACCTCTGCTGCCTGAAGCGACGCTCCAGCTCACAGGTCTGCGCTCTGGAGAACAGCACTCTCCTCTTCCTCATCCTCCTCTTCCTCTCAGGCTCGTCTGAGGGTGCTCTGCTCTCATCTCCGTGCGACCCTTCTTCAGCCTCTGCGGGGTCTGCAGAGCCCCCAGCTGCTCCGGGACAAACAGAGGGGAAATATGCCGAAGTATTAGAGCACAGCTCCACTTGCCTTGAGTTAGTAAGAGACTTAAATGAAGAACACTTTAAAGGCCATGAAAAAGGTTTTTGTCCTTATTGAAAGCTGTGCGTCATGAATATATATCTATATGAAATAATGAATGATAATAACAAATGCTAAACAATATTAGCATTATTAAATTACATATTGCTCGATTTGTTCCTTTTTCGAACTTATTTATTTATTTATTGCCAGTACAGTTTCCTGCTTAAGTTATGTGTTTTTCAGCTGGTGGACTATTAAGTGAAATCCACAATATATATGGTTAATTAACTATATATACTGAAATATATAAACCTATGACTTTACAAACATATAAACATACATGGATATTCATTTATATAAACATATTTGTAAGCATATAAATGTATACTGACATTATAGAAAGTTATATGAGCTTAAAACCTTATATAAGACTTACATAACTTATAAAAACTATATATATATATATATATACATATATATATATACACATATATATATACATATATACATATAAGCAAGCATATATACTTGATATAAACAAGTATAAACTATTTGCATATAAACTTACTTGCATATATGAATATAATTATATATATACTTATATATAAGTACATACTTATTAAGATGCACATAAACTAACATGAGTATATATAAACTTACAGGGGTATAAACTTACATGGATACTGATAAGCAGCCGGAGTTCCCTCCCAAAGTGAATTCCTCGCGGAGGACTGCGTCTCAGCTCCTGATGGACTCTGAGAAGCTGCGGGTGGATCTTCATCTTCAGTGTCCTCCTCCTCATCATCCACATCCCTCAGATTCAGAATGTCCCGCACAGAGAAGCCCATCTTTGCATTGCTCATTTCCACACAGCAGAAGAATGCGTGTGTGTGTGTGAAGTCTCTGAATGATCCTCCTCTCCTTCCTGCCAGGTTAGACTACACGAACCTTCAACCTCGAGAGGATTATCAGACTAAGTAAAGCTCATCTGGGTGAAACAGAAGAGGAAAAATCCCCAGCGCTGCACCGAAGGCTCCTCGTTTGTTCGAGGCGGTTTTGTGCAGTATGGATAAACCTGTGCGCTGGTAGAGGGAGATACTGGTCAGAATGACCCCCATCCCCACACTGATGGAGCCTTTAAGGTCGCTGAGGAACGCTGGAGCATCACAACCTGCAGCCAAAACTCAACCCAGCCCGGAGCTGAGGGCGGGTCTTCGGAGTCAAGTGGATGAGCGGCTTCAGTTTGTATTTTTACGCAGGTCTAAATCATCACAGTGTCTAGCTGTGGTGCATCTAATCCACAATAAGTGTGCATGATGTGACCCAAACAGAAAGCTACTGAGGGTTGATTTGCCCCCCAAATTTACATATCAGAAGTGTCCACTGCATAAATGGACACCTTTTGTTGCTAATAATTAGCTTGTGCTTATGCAGCAGAAAAAAAAAAACTTTGAAATGCAATTGGTTGGGGACATTATATATGGCTGGTAATGGACTGTCCACGCCGAAATGAGATGTGTTTGAAATGGCAAGTGGCCAATTTATGGAAACCTTTTAGGTCAATATTTTGCTACGGGATTAAGTCGAGTGGCATAAACATCACGAGCGACCTGCGAGGAGAAGAACAAAAAGCCTGTTACTGAGCTCACTGAGCTCACTTATGGGTGCCTGTCGTCTAAATGAGCGTCATATGATCTGGCTTGTTGATACTTAAACTGATCTTGAGGGCCTTTTCGTCCGCGCTGGACTCGCACCTTTTGGCGCTGATGTGCTGAAGCACGTCTGGACCAATCTGGCTAATTTGCATATTCATCAGACTGTAATATAAACACAGAGAGAACTCCGTAAAAGCATGCTGTCCTCTTTTGTTGAGCACACCTCATCAGAACCTGGCTTAGTTGATGTCACTCACTATTGTAACTTGATTTTTACGAGATTTGATTATTGCAATTAATCGTAATATAATATTAAGACAACCAGTTTTTAAACTAATATATACCTTTGCATGATGAAGTGATTTTTCAGATTGATAGAGAACGTGTTGCACCAAAAATCGTTCTTCTATTGTTTACAATGTCAAGCTTGTATACAACAGTAGAACCCTTTTTGGTGCTTAGAACCATATACAGCACGTTCTCCATCAATTTGAATTTGTTGATTTATGTTGTCGGGTTTAAACAGAACCATTCTCTTTACTAAAGAACCCTTGTGTAAATGGTCCTCATGTTGTTAACAAACTATCTGGTGAAACTCAGTTGGTTATGAAGTGCTTTGGGTTTAGGGTTAGGTTTAGGTTTTAGGTTAAGATTTAGGTCAGAGGTAAGATGAAGAAGGGTTGGATTTAAGAGAAGACAAAGTGAGCACCTTCAGCATCAGCGGACTCACAAAAAAAGGGCTGCCAATAATTGTGCTGTGAAGTAGTCTAGTCCTGTACTCGGACTCCCACTGTAAACAAACAAAACACAAAACAAACAAACAAACAAACAAACAAACAAATAAATAAATAAATAAATAAAGTTGCTGCCTTAAAGTTTTGAGGTCATTTAACGTCAAACAAAAGTTTTCTGTTAAAGGGGAATTCCACCGTCAGAATTGTTCACTGTGGTGGTGATAGGAACCAGACGTCCACTTCTAAAAGTTACTACATGACATGACAAGCTGATGTCTGAGGCAATATTTAACAATAGTTTTAAGATTTTTGGCCTGTTTGTTATTGTGGTGAGGAGGTACATGCCGTGCCCTATAAGGCAAATTAGTCCCGCGCTATTTTTTCGCACTGTTTCATTATTATCAGCACTGCATGAAAACACATGCGGGTTCACTGGTGGTTATGTGGTGGTTATTTCACCACCAGTGTGAAGAAAATAAAGCCTCTACATTCACTGCCAAGAAGCACTTTGAATGATCGTCAAATCTCAACAACTGAATTTTGAAAAGTCGGTGGAATTCCTCTCAAACTTATTATAATAATTCAACGACTTCTATTTTTTTTTAAGTTAAACAAAAAAAAATCGATTTTTTTTTATTTATTATTTTTTAAAGCACATGTATTTGTGTATTAATGGTTAATAAATTGACCAAATGATGGCTGTTATTTGTAATTTAAGCATCAAAAATGGTCAGTTCAAACTAAAGACTTTACCTAATGTGGTTACTGTCCATTTAACTCAACTCTAATAAACCGTTTGACTGAAACACAGTAAACTTTTTGTTTTGTATAGATGAGGAAAAGTTAAATTTTCCACCAGTTAAAACCTCATAAACTCTTCAAAACATTATCCACTGTTGACAGTGTATAGTCATGTTTGCAGTAGGCCTGTTATTATTGTTGCCTTTATTATTTGTTATGCTTGTTTTTTAATTAATTGGGCTAAAGTTGGTGGGCTGAGAGCCGTGTAAACACAGACTGTTATTCAGTGCGGATACTGTAATTAATTAATCACTAATATTTTGCGTCTACTCGCTTCTTCTTTCATTAATCGCCGAACATTTCACGCGCCACTAATTAACTTCTGCGTTATTTAAATGTAGGTGTTTCTCCCCGGGCCTGTGTGTGATGTGGTTGTGGATGGCTCTCCCCATTCTCCAGCCCATCCTGGGTGGTCGCACTAAGCAAACACACATACAAACCGATTTCTAAGCTGCTGGACAATAGGAGGAGTGCAGGCCAATGTCCGGCTCGCTCTGGAGCTTTTTGTGCTCGATCAGGTTTTGCATTTATTTGGGGGCTGATTGACGCCCCTAACAAAGCCCCCTGAGAGAAGGGAGGGGGGATAAATCTGAGGCTGCTCCGTGTTGTCATGGTGCTCTCAATAGGCTGGACATGCTTCTTCTTTCGTGTCTGAGGGTGGCAGCTCAGTAGCTTTGGACATTAAAGGGCCCCTATCTTACATTTTTCATCCGTTTCAATTTTTTTCCCTCGAGGTCCTCTTCTAAGGCATTGTGGTTTTATGTAACCTTGCACTACTATATATACATATTGGCTGGCCAGTATTGGGCTTCATTCAAAAAGCAGCCCAGGATCAAACACTCCTAATAACTTCAATGTAAATGGGCGGCGCTAAACAGCTATAGGCTGTTTTCAAATATGTGATTTTTCCACAGAAATTTCAGGCGTTTTGTCTCCTGCACGCTCCTGCCTGTATGCGCACTCATTCTCTCTCGCTCTCACCTCTCTATCGCGCCTCTCTCACTCACCTCTCTATCGCGCCTCTCTCTCTCTCTCTCTCTCTCTCTCTCTCTCTCTCTCTCTCACACACACACACACACTTCTCTCTCTCTCTCTCTCTCTCTCTCTGAGTTTGAGGAGTGGTGTGAACGTGCTCCTGCTTGACATCACAAAAAACAAAAAAATCAGAACAGCTGTTTTTCCAGTTTAGTTTTCACATATGCACTGCACGGACTGTGGAGTGGATGGTACACTTTGAAACTTTAACAATGACTACATGCAATGTTAAACTATATTAAAAAAAAAAAAAAATCAATGTTTTCAATGATATGGGCCCTTTAAAGCCCCAAAGAGGAGCTACACAGCATGACCACTCAACAGCGCCCTCACTGCACCATCACTGCTCAAGATTTCTAGATTGAATGGACAGTTTCAAGCCCAGTTAAGCTCCAAAATCTGCCCAGTTTTTACCTGAAGTATATTTATAAAGTTTGTGTGGTTTTAGGCACCAAAATGTCCTTTTTATGACGATATCTTTCAACATTTCTTGATCATTTAGAATGAAATAAACAGTTGATTTTACTGTGGCAATAAGGCTGATTATATAAATGATCTCTGCTCTGAATTGTGGCTGAGCCTAGGATGAAACCCTGCTTATAACTTCTGCATGAATGGGAGGGGCTAAGATGAGTTCCTCATGGAGCACAATATTAAATACACAAAATAAACTTGTTAAAGGACATACTACTGCACTGTCCTCACACAAATATAAATAAATAATATATATATATATATATATATATATATATATATATATATATATATATATATATATATATTATCATACACAATTAACAGTGGTAAAGTAGTAGCTTTTGTACAAGTACTCAGAGTACACACACAGTCATAATTACACCATAGAACACACACTGTAATGTCCAGTACAGATAACTTGTCTGTACTGGATGTGCTTTTATGCAGGTTTTCATATATGGACTGTGTGGACTGGGGAATGCCTACACTATAAAAAATGACTTGTCAGATCAACCTAAAAAAATAACTTCACGTGGTAACAAGTAAATTAACTAATTTTATTCAACCCAAATAAATATATTTCAAAAAAAAAAAAAACTTTTCCTGGTTTTCCCTGACATGGGCCCTTTAAGTGTTATGAGGCAATAGTAATAGGAAGCTGATGCAAATACCAACATTTAATCTGAATTTGCAAACATGAGGTTGTGGAGACTCTGAAGGCCAAAAAATCTCAAGTCTCAATTACATTTAATTCCTCATTAAAAAAAAAAAAAAGAACCACGACACAAAAGAAAACATCAAACACTCCCTTCTGCTGATGCTGAATTTCTTCAGAAATTATATAATCTTGTCCTTGACTGCAGTCATAAAGTTAATTATATATTATGTCAAAAGTCTTTATTATTATTATTATTATTATTATTATTATTATTATTATTATTATTAATTGTAGTAGTAGTAGTAGTAGTAATATTTTCTTTATTCAAATTAGGACAAGTTAGCTCATTGAGAACTAGGTCTCATTTGCAGTAGGGCCCTGTAAAACAAACATAAAAATACAACTCAATGGTAAACAGAAATAATACGAACATAAAATGTCAGTCATTAAAACAATTAGAACAAATAAAATAATTAAAACAAGCCAGAAGTTGCATAAAATTA